ACCTGGATTGGTTGGGAACACCTGGATTTTGGGAGCCCTCATCCACTTCTTCCCGAGCACCTGGACGGGTTGTGAACATCCGGATTTTGGGGACTCCCAGCCCCCCCTTTTCCCACATCCCTGGATTTTGGGGAGCCTCCCCCTGCCAAATGCCTGGAATTGCAGGATATTCCACCATGGCCTGGACGCCGTTCTTGCGGAAGATGACGATCCTCTGCACGGGCCCACACGGGTTGCAGATGGTGTAGAGCACGTCCTGGGGGCACAGCGGGGTCAGGGCCACCCCAAAAAACAACCTGGCACCCCCAAAAATATCCTGGGATCCCCAAAAACGAACCTGGCATCCCAAAAAATATCCTGGGATCCCCAAACACGAACCTGGCACCCCCAAAAATCAACTTGGGAGCCCAAAAATACCCCGAGAGCCCCAAAATATCCCAGGACCCCCAAAAACCAACCCAAGACCCCAAAAATACACTGGGATTCACCAAAAACCAACCTGAAAACCCAAAAATACTCTGGGATCCCCAAAAACCAACCTGGGAGCCCAAAAATACCCCAAGAGCCCCAAAATATCCCAGGACCCCCAAAAACTAACCTGGCACCCCCAAAAACCAACCTGTGACCCAAAAATATCCCAGGACCCCCAAAAACCAACTCAAGACCCCAAAAATACCCTGGGACCCCAAAAACCAATCCAGGACCCCAAAAATACACTGGGAGCCCAAAAATACCCCAGGACCCCCAAAAACCAACCCAAGACTCCCAAAATAGCCTGAGATCCCAAAAATACCCTGGAACCCCCAAAAACCAACCCGAGACCCCAAAAATAGCCTGAGATCCCAAATATCAACCTGGGACCCCCAAAAACCAACCCAGGACCCCAAAATCCCCCCAAATCCCAGGGTTCACCCACCGTGGTGATGGAGTAGATGGGGTTGAGGATGGTGAAGAGTAGGACACGAATGACCCCCTAAGCCCCTTCCAGGACCCCCCAAACCCCTTCCAGGACCCCCAAACCCCTTCCAGGACCCTCCAAACCCCTTCAAGGACCCCCAAATGCCACGCACCGTGGTGATGGAGTAGATGGGGTTGAGGATGGTGAAGAGCAGCACATTGTTGACCCCCCAAACCCCCCCAGGACCCCTCAAACCCCTTCCAGGACCCCCCAAAGCCCCCAACCCCTGACCCACCGTGGTGATGGAGTAGATGGGGTTGAGGATGGTGAAGAGCAGGACGTTGTTGACGCCGCGGGCGTCGTCGCTGTCCCCGGGCCGGGAGATCTTCTGGCTGGTGGAGTAGTTGACGAAGGCCGGGTGCCCCGCAAAGTAGATCTGGTTGTCGGCGGCGAAGTTGACGGCGTTGCAGGCGCCCA